TTGTGTCGTCTGTCTGTATATAGATGATGTCTGTTCCCTGCTGGATGCTGATTAGCTGGATCAGTCAGATGGTTGCTCTTTTGGACAAGCCAGAAGCTGTGGCAGTACAGCACTGCATAGAGCAGATAGCAGAGTGCTACCCTCAGGCACTGGTTTATGCACTCATGATCAGCAGTGAGAGCTACCAGTTTGAGGACTCGGCTACAGGACACCAGCAACAGGAGTTTGTCAACAGGTAAGTTTGCAGGTGCAGTTTTTTGGGGGGTCGGTGTTAAAAATATTTTTTCAAAAGCTTCAGTTTAATTTTATGAGCGCTGTGCATCAACAGGCTCAAGAGCATGCTGGACAAGGGAGGTGCTGTGAAGAACTTTGTGGATGCGCTTCAGCAGCTGACAAATCCTGAGATGATTTTTAAGGTAATGAGTGAAAGTTCAGACATGATTTCAATCAAAATGCCAGACGAAAACTGATTGTTTTCATTCTGTCCACACGCAGGATTGGTGGGATGGCGTAAGAATTGAACTGGAAAAGCCGACTTTTAACAGGAAGCAAATGGGAGACATGTATGAAGAGATTCGGTCTATACTCGGAGACTGCAGCGCAGATAGTCACGGGATGTTCCGAAAGAAATTCATCAAAGTTTGTCATTTCTTTTCTTTTTTTCCTATTTTTTATCTCAAAAATATGATTCTCCAGAAATTTGTGAAATTAGGAGGCTAGTACAGATCATTCATCAGCAAGTGAAAAGAATATGCAGCTTCTAATCAAGAAAATATAATGTTATGCTGTCCCCTGCAGAAGTTTTTCAAAGACGTGGAGAAATTGTTGGGACCGAACGGCAAACAGCTGTTTGAAAAGAGGAAAGATAAAACCTTTTTGCAGAAAGTGGATGACCTGGCTGCATCCATGCGTGGATTTCAGAAGGAGCCAGGGAACCTGAAGGAATACTCACCTTGGCTGAGTGGATTTAAAGCAGACTCATTCAGAAATGAGCTGGAGATCCCAGGTTAAGAGCTATACTGATTAATATTGTTTGATTTATTTCAAACAGTCTCATCCGTTATGTTCTATCCACTGATGAGGCTGCGTTTTCTTTCTCGCAGGACAATATGACGGGAGAGCCAAACCACTGCCAGAGTATCATGCAAAGATAACTGGCTTTGATGAGAGGGTATGCACTTTAAAACAGAAGAGTTAAACGGTTTGTTCTCGTCCTGGCTGTAAGTGTGAAAGTTCTCTGGGATCTTGCCTGCAGGTAAAGGTGATGTCTTCTATTCGTCGTCCCAAGCGTCTTATCATTCGTGGGGATGACGAGCGGGACCACCCCTTTCTGGTAAAGGGCGGGGAGGACCTCCGACAGGACCAACGAATCGAACAGCTTTTCGCTGTCATGAACATCCTGCTGAGCCAGGACACGTCGTGTTTGCACAGAGGCTTGCAGCTCCGCACCTATCAAGTCATTCCTATAAACACAAGGTGGTGGGCATGTCTGTGTCTCCATATTTGTCCCTTCAGTTCCACTTACACTGATTAAAGATCGAATAAAATGGGTTTTTTTATTTTATTTTCTCTGATAAGACTATCCAGTAAGAAAAATGTATTTAATATTATAAGTATCATTTGGTTCTTGGTCCCATATTTAATTACTTAACAATTATTAGACAAAATATTAACTAACTAACTAACTAAGCAAATTATGATTACAGAATTGGTCTGATTGAATGGATGGAAAACACCTGTACTCTAAAGGAGTTTGTGCTCAACACAATGACTGAGGAGGAGCAGCAGAGGGCAGGGAGGTACAGTATATTTATTCCACCCTAATGCCGTGGCCCTGTGTTTGGTGAAGAACATGAAGTTCATCTAGTGTGTGATGAGTTTGATGATATGATGGCAGTTGTGTCTTTGTTTTAAAGTTCCATGGATGAGTACAACGCCTGGCTCTCACGCTTTGCACCAGAAAACCGAAAAGACAAAAATCGTGTGAGCGCTATTGCACTTTATGGTCTGGCCTATAAGTGAGTTACCTGAATTTTTACTCCTATGACACTGGGTTCAATAAATGCTCATAAAAAACAATTTGAATAATTTTAACAGACTTACACTTGCATTTCATTCTTTGCCAGGAAAGCAAAACGTGCCGATGCTGTCAACAACTTTATGAAAGTATTGCAGTGTGTGCCCAGCGATTTGCTGAAGTAAGTGGACTGCATGTATAGCATGACTGCTCGGGACATGGTAACACTTGCAGTAATAACCTTCATATTTTTCTTTGTTTTAAATTCTAGGAGAGCTTTTCTAAACATGTGCAACAGTCCGGAGGCCTTTCTGTCCCTGCGATCCCACTTCATTAGCTCTCACGCTTTGCTGTGCGTGAGTCACTGGATTCTTGGGATTGGAGATCGCCACCTCTCCAACTTCATGATAAATATGGAAACAGGGGGCATGATTGGCATTGACTTTGGGCATGCGTTTGGCTCATCCACACAGGTATATCCAGTGAAAGGAATGTTAACTCTCCTAAAGCAAAATGCCATAGAAGAGGCAATAAGTGATTTACACGTGATTGGGTTGGGAGAATTTATTGTCTGGTTTAGGTGTATGAATCTTACTGTCACAGCTGAGGTGACCGGCTGCATGAATGTGAAGCATGTCAGAAGGTGACCTACTGTACTGTTAATCTCTTTCTGTGCAATCCCGTATTTTCTCCCAGTTCCTCCCTGTGCCTGAGCTCATGCCTTTCCGGCTGACCCAACAGTTTGTGAATTTAATGCAACCCTTGAAGGAGTCCGGTTTGATCCAGAACATCATGGTTCATTCGTTGCGGGCCTACAGGGCTGAGCCAGACCTTCTGCTTAACACTATGGACGTGTTTGTCAAGGAACCCTCTCTGGACTGGAAGGTAACCATTGAATGAGTGGATAGATTTTGGATAATGTTTTCAATAGTGTTCATTGAGATTTTAATGCATCCATTTAGCCACAACTCTCTTAAGGTGTCACTACATTATTCCAGTCAGGTTGAGATCTGGACTTTTCTGGATTCGTTTCTTCCTCAGCCCTTCTCTTGAAGATTTGGGTCTGTGCTTAGGATCATTTGACTCTAGAATACAGAGAAGTTCATGGTCGACTCAATGACTGCAAAGTGCCCAAGTCCTGTGTTGTATCCAAAGCAAGTTCAAATCATCACCCCTCGACTTTGCAGACAGCACATGCTGAATTTTGGATACGGATCAAGATTGTATTATATACAACATGTGGCATGTTCTGTTTTCATTTGTGGCTCTTGGCCATTGTATAGTCTATTGTTGTTTTACAGTTTTTGTTTGTGAAATTGAATTAATTTAATTTCCCCCAATAAAATGTTGCTTGCTGTTGCACATTAAAGACTTTTAATCTGTTTTTCAAATTACGGTACAAAAAAGTTGTGTTATTGTTATCATGCAGAACTTTGAGATGAAACAACTGAGGAAAGGAGGCACATGGACAGAGACTGTGAACACCAAAGAAATCAACTGGTATCCCTTGCAGAAGGTTAACTTTGCCAAGAGAAAACTGGATGGAGCTAATCCAGCTGCTATAACCAGGTAGATCATCAAATCATATTATGAAACGTCTAATAGGATTTAATTAACGTTCTATGCTAGTACAACCCTCTGTTTTTGACATCCATAATGATGGAAAGTCCCAGTACTCAACTAATGGTAACATTTTGCCGAGTGTGTTGATTCATATTAGGGGTCATATCTGAAATCAGAAACCTTTATAATACAATTCAGTCACTGTTTTGTTATTCTCCAGCTTGTCTTGTTTTTGACTTGATGTTTTGGGTTTATTTTGTCAGTGAGGAGCTGAAGCTGGGTTTTGAGAAGGATGGTGCCTTCCCGGGGATGCAGTCGGTGGCTCTGGGCACTAAGGAGCACAACATTCGTGCTAGACTTCCAGCCGAAGGCCTGTCAGTGGAGAATCAGGTGGACTGTCTGCTAGACCAGGCCATGGATCCAAATGTGCTTTGCAGAGTTTGGGTGGGCTGGGAACCGTGGATTTGAGTCATTCAAAATAAATCACACGTTTAGAAACTGTATGCAAATGATTTTTAGGGCCTGAAAGAATCCTTTGATGTCAAATATGTTCTCTAATGCAGTTGTGGAAAACCTTTATATGCGTCTTGTTCTTTTTTTGCCAATTTGCTTGGCAAAATTGTATGACGTTTGGAACAAAAGGAAGAAATTAAATTCTGTGGAAAGTGTGAAATCTGTAACTAATTTATAACTATACACTACGGCATTTATATAGTAATACTTTGTTATGAATTCAGCCATGTAGTTATAATTCAGTTGCACAGGGCAGGTAATCAGAAAACTTTCCCATTAAGAACGGGAATTAATCAGATTAGAGATTTGACAGTTGAACGGGATAACTGATGATCACCCATTAGTTACTAATGGTAACTAATACCAGTCAAGTACCAGTCCAATCAAATTAGTTTCCTTAGAGCATTAGCCATTTTTTAAACAAGTTGCTGTGTTGACATCAAGACAAATGCTCCATACAAAACCTGGTGGAGTCAGGAAGGAGGCAGCAAATGGCAGGAACGGCTAACAATGCAACAAATAAGCACAAGTCGGCATCACAGGCCTAGTCATTGTTCATATGCAGTTGTTTTAAAAGTCGAGCTTGCCAAATTTGACCAAGTGTGTGTCTTTAGAGTGAGGTAATAAAACATGTTGGTAACAGTAGACACATAATTACATGAAAAATAGGCAAAACCTTTAAAATCTGCATTTATGTACACTTATTTTAAAAAGCCGGATGCTGCACAGTGCACCAGCAACTGAAGAAAACAGGCATGTCTGCTCTTTCATAACCTCTATTGAAATCGTTTATATGGATAAGGCTTGTGCAAAGTATTTTCAATAAATCACACTTACTTAAAGACATTCAAATTTAATCAAAGCTTTAAAAGTATGTGGTTTAGAATATGTAAGCCTAAATCACATGTAGATAAAAAGCAGAACTTAGGAAACCTTTGATCTGTGGCATGTCAGCCTGCTTAATGTACAACCGGAAAGTGCAAGACAGCAGAAGTAACGAAACAGCAAACTGTTGATAAAGGTGCTGAACACCTGATGCAATTTGCTGTCTCACTTCCTTTTTGCAGCATTTGACATGCGCCTGTATTCAATTTGCTATTCTATAAAAGATGCAGACAACATACACTCAATATCGATTACTAAAAATAACCAGTTAATCAGTTACTTATTGTCTCTATTAATTCTTTAGTCATCTCAAATTTTGCCTGAGAAATGACCCAAATTATAAATAATTGTCTATCAGCTGAACAAATCATCAGTCGCACTGGAAAAGAGCAAAATAATGTTAGAAATAAATAAACCAGGTGAGTTTTCTAACTGGAAGTTATTCACTGAATCCAGAGACGACTAAAATGAATTCTGACGTGAATTTTGGGGGAAAATGACCCAAGGTGGTAAATTTCAGATGGCTACTCTTCTAAACTGTTGATGAATTGAACTGGAACAAGCTGTAATTTTATGAAGTATGAAATTCAAATTTTAAATCCTCGAATGTCTCCTTGTCCTTTTAGCCTCTGCTCTGACTTTGCAACTTTAACATAGACATGGAGCCAAGTGGTGAAACCACCATATGTCACAATATTCTGGGGAATTGATGAAACTCATGTTTCTCCATGTCACAGCATAGACACGTATTTCCCTGGACAGGCAGGCACGCCTTAAAATAATTATTTTGTGAATTATCAATGAATGAAGACTGACTTACACATAAAGCTCTTGCTGTTTATCATATAGATTGTGTTAATCACTCAAACTTTGTGATCAGTAGTATAATGGTCATGCTCGTTACTACTATGAAGCCTACTACTGTTACTTGACCAAGAAGAAAAACACGAGCACCAGTTAATCCATGTTTAATAGATGATACAATGCAAAAGGGGAAACAGGGAAAACAAGAGTTAAAATGAAAAACAAATGTTCAGAACTTAACTTGTAAGTAATGATGTCAAACCCAGTGTCACAGTTATTTACCTTCTTTTTGTACAAAAAATTGCAACAGTTCATGTAGGCAGTGATCCAGAGCTGAGTGTGTTACCAACGCAGAATGAGCTTTGGTTCCGAGTGCTTCACAACGTTGGATTAGTCGGACACGGCTAGATGTTGGAGTGTTTTCACAGTTCATTGAATAATTGCAGAATTCTTCAATTTAACCCTCACGTCATACTTTAAATTGGCTAATGGTTTGGAAATATTTCTTTGGCATGCATTTTTTATAAATGAACACTGTGGCATTTTCAATACGCTTAATAATACCCTATAATACTCCACTGCTTTGCATTTCCTTTCCGTGGTAACTTTGGAGTGCCATGGCTATTGCATAAGACATTATGCTATGTAATAAGTTTCCAGGGACAGAAATCATTCTCCATAAAAACAGCGATACTGAGACTAACTTAAAAGGAAATACAGCTTATTAACATTATCTTTTGGTCAGTGTCCATGGAGTGCGAAAGAGATTCGTAGGTATTTTCCCCCCGTGACCGAGTGTTATTTTACTGCATGAAGTTAGAAACCCAAGTAGAACCCACATTTTACAGAATTAAAAAAAAAAACAAACAGAAATTTGAACATAAGCTTTTTCTCAATAAAAAATAATCTCAACATTAGTAATCATTTCAATAAAAAAAATTTATATTTAATTTGCACCTACATACAAAATAAAAAAATATCAAGTAAAATATGTAACACCCCACTGTAAAAAAGAGAAAAAAAACTGTTGGGTGGGGGGGAAACAAAACAACAGCTATTGGCCAACAGACCAGACCCGAGTTGTACAAAAGCTGTGACTGCTGAGGCACCTTCAAGTGTCAGCCATAAGAATGGTCTGACAATAACTCTCCTGCATATTTTGCATCATGTTAAATTACTGCATAAATAACTCAATTCTGAATCAAGGGTATTTTTTTTAAAAAGTTACCAATACAAACAAATATTTCATTGTAGTTTATCATTTTCAAGTTTAGCCTACATGCTTCCGTGGTCTGGAGAAACTCCAGTTGTTAGTGTATACTCTCTGACAAAAAGAAAATGTTACGTCAACATATCAAATGTTTTAAGGTCTCTGGGTTAAGGCGCAAAAAACTATTACTTCTGTCTCGCAAGTATTGTAGGTAACACTTACCAATACATACAGTGGAAACAAATGAGTACCCTTGCAATTAAAAAAATGTAGTGCATTCATTCTCTACATAAACAATCTCATCAATTATATTTAATGACCTCAACTGCTATATTTAATCTGAAATCTACCAAAGTGCATGATGCATTTAATTTTTCATTTATATTGGACGCCAAGATCTGTTGGCGCTTTTGGTTATTTCCATGTGAGTTTAAAAGAAAGGACAGAATTTGGTTAGATATAACCAATTTCTTTTCAGGCTTAAATAACCCAAAGTGACATTTAGCTGAGACGTTTTAGGTTACAATAAGCAGTGTTTAACTTCAGGCACACACAAAAAAGAGCTCTTGCATAGGAAGTGTCACCTTTAAACCCTACTGCAGATAATGACTTAGCGTAGCTAACTGTTATTAGCACAGTTATATTAAGGGGATGCAAATTCTGAGGGAAAACAGAACCCTGTCATGCAGTAATTAATTTTCCAAAGTTAACCATCTCCTGTCACCTGATACCAAACTGGGTTTTCTGTAATTATTGGCAGTTGGCTCTACTATATATATATATATATATTTCAAATATTTTCTAGTTCGTGCTCTTTTAAACATTTAGCTATTCGCAGCAAAATTCTGTGACACTCTCCTTTTACAAAAGACAATATTGTCTTCATATAGCTCTCACATTAAAACGATTATGTGGATTTCTTTCAATTCCCTGGCTTAAATTAGTATCTGTGTAATGACATGAATAGGTCGTGGGTGTAAAAGTAAGCAGTTGACATGTAAATGTCTTTGTGAAAGTGCCAAATGATTCCATTCAGTTAGCAAATAGGAGTCATAGACTTTAAGTGGGCATTACCCACTTGTCTTCCCCACCATGTAGTAACAAGAAATAAGTTCATACTATACAAAAAGAAACTCTTTGTGGCTTGATGTGCATAGCATACATACTGAAGGCATGATGTTCTCAGCTTTACAGGAGTTTTTAAGTTACATATTGTTAGATCTTGGGTCTCCACCCATTTATGAACTGCATGAGTTTCTTCACCTGCAGTTTGCTTAGCTTGAAGTCCTCAGACAAAATCTCCTCGGTGAGCTGCAGGAGTAGATTCCCATCAATTTTTTCAGACACGAAAAGAGAAACAATGTCATCTGGCAGGCCGATAAATTTCAGACATTTGGAGACCTCTTCAATTGAAAGGCCAGCCAAGCTCAATGGTGGCTGCCACTGTGTAGTGTGAGACAAGGATGGACAGTTAACAGTTGGAGTGTTAGAGATGGAGTGTATCTCTTTTGTTCCCTGCTCATGTTGAGCAAGTGAGGAATATAAAGTTTCCGGCTTACTGTCACAGACCGACTCTGACAGCACATCTGTGCACTTCTTTATGGCATTTGATTTTGGTGTTCTTGGTGGCAAGATCGGGCAGGAGAGGCTCTGCTTAGTGTTAGATGCATCTATGAGCTTGTCACTGTACATTTCTGAATTGCAGCTAGAAGATTTGTTGCAGAAAGGACTCAGAGATGCTTTCGGCAAGTTAAAGTCCTTACTGCGGTGTGCATACTCTCGGCCATCAAAGTCAACAAGGCTGGTTGTACAGGTTTTTGGAGTGCTTGGGGTTCTCTTTCTGGGGTAGCTGTAGTAACTTCGACAGGTTGTAGGCAGAAACTCGTCCATGCAATGCGAATCCCCTCCACTGAAATGATTTGGCCAAGACAACCGCGATAAAACTCCATCTAACGGTGAGCTACTACATGGCGAAACAGCCTTCGGTTCAGTGCTGATGGAATTAGCCCAGCTGCAAGGGTAGCACACATGGCTTTGCTCTTGTGGGTCAGTTCCTTCTTGCTCACATGTTCCACTGCTAATGGAAAAATAGTAGATTAATTTATAGCATAAGAATAGCCTCATACATGTAAACATAGAAAGGTACAAAACTTGATAGCTTACAGCATTTGTTTTGAGAATGTGGGTGAAAATTTAAATTCTTACATGTTGTGGAGACCAGAAGAATAATAGGAGAGGGTTGGACTTGGAGACCGAGTTTCTTGCTGCCGTGGCTTCAAAAGGACAGGCACTGATGGTATCTGTTTCAGGCCTCGTGGTGGGATTGGTGGTGCATTCAAAAGACGACATTCTTCCTTCACCTAGGATAAAAAGAGTTTGTGTTGAAACAGTAACTAAAGCTTATGTTCTTACGAGTGTAAGAATGTGTGTGAATGTGTGTGTGAATGGGTGGATGGCAGGTTGTGTAAAGCGCTTTGGGGTCCTTAGGGACTAGAAAAGCGCTATACAAATACAGGCCATTTACCATTTACATTACAGTCATTCTTCAAAGAACCCTCAGGTTCAGCTTTTTATCTGCAACAGCCAATCAAACTTGTTGTTTTCAAGTAGTTTTATTTATTAATTTACTGCATAGTAGCTACTCATGCTGGCTTTTGCTGTAGTATTAAAATATATTTGTTGTGAGCATGGACGTCATCAAATCAACTAACACTCCAATCCTAAGACCGAAAACTCTAAAGTACAATAGATTATACTCACAGCTTCAGACTTTGGTGGGACTGGTGGAGGAGCAAGAGGCACATCAGAGCTGGTTATGGCTCCCAGAGGACAAGTGACTGGGTTTGTCAGTGCAGCTGTTGTGGCACAGTCACTGTTGAGGCCTCTGATTCCTTCGCTTTGAGAGGGTTTTGGAATCTGACTTCTCAAGTGATCCAACCACAGCTCCTCATAGGGAACATCCAGCTTGTTGAGGGTTGGTTGTGGGTTTGTGCAGTCCAACAGCTCTGGGAAAAAGTGTTCATTCTCTTCTGAAGGATGACTATCAGAAGGCATAAGAGCCCAATCTCCGCATGGCATACAACCCTGCAAGTTGACCTCACTGTTACCGTGCAGGTTGCTGCCATACACACACACAGACAGTCGGTGGAAGGACTGGGTGAGTTCATCTCGGGCGTAAGTCAAAGAGCTGGGAATTTGCATATGATTGGGACAGCCGCTTGAACTCCCGCTTCCTCCACTGCTACAACTACCATTGCCACTGCTTTTTTTGGGGCTTTTGCCATCTTCATTCCAGTCTGTTCGTACGTCCCGGACAGCACGAGAATAGTCATCGATATCAAACTGCTCCTGGCAGAACGCAAACCAGCGATGCACCATAGTATCTAACCACAACTCTCCTTGCAGCAATTCTTCTGGAACAATAAATCGTGGCATGGCTATATGAAACGGAAAATGGATAGGGATAATTTTATTGCTTCGCAGAATGCAGCACACAACCACTGTTTTCGTCTGAATGTTGACCAATTTGTACCGATGACCCTCCCTAATGAGGTGGAGGTCATACTGGTTGCGGGGTGGGGTGCTGGGTACTGTCACATTGACCGGGAGACGGGTTTTCTCCACGATGTTCCTGATGTTGTGCTCCCCGTCTTGCATCTGAAGCTCAAGTGGACTGCAGGTACTGAACCTGCCTTTGCACTGGAACGGCAGGCTGATGCTCTCATTGGTGCGATGGTTCATGCAAATCAAGCAAGGCATCTTGCCTCGACCGATCTTACTGATGGAGTTCAGCTTTCCAATCTTCTTAAAAATGGTGTTGAATCTTGATTTTTCTTTGAAGCTTTTGGCATAAAGGATCTCAGCTTGGCCCATTAACGTCAGTTCATCACCAGTGTTTAGTGTTATGTTGTAAACCTCTGTGTCTTCATTGCATTCCCCTGAAGCCATCTATGAAAACATTACATACATGAATTTCGATATACGCAATGAAATGAATCTATTTTACCAACCTTAACTTGGAAAATTTTAAACTTTAACTGGAAATCTACAGTTATGAAATACTCTTGGTGGAAGCGTTTAGAATTATAGCTACAGTGGGGCAAAAAAGTATTTAGTCAGCCACCGATTGTGCAAGTTCCCCCACTTAAAATGATGACAGAGGTCAGTAATTTGCACCAGAGGTACACTTCAACTGTGAGAGACAGAATGTGAAAAAAAAATCCATGAATCCACATGGTAGGATTTGTAAAGAATTTATTCGTAAATCAGGGTGGAAAATAAGTATTTGGTCACCTCAAACAAGGAAAATCTCTGGCTCTCACAGACCTGTAACGTCTTCTGTAAGAAGCTTTTCTGTCCCCCACTCGTTACCTGTATGAATGGCACCTGTTTGAACTCATCATCTGTATAAAAGACACCTGTCCACAGCCTCAAACAGTCAGACTCCAAACTCCGCCATGGCCAAGACCAAAGAGCTTTCGAAGGACACCAGGAAAAGTATTGTAGACCTGCACCAGACTGGGAAGAGTGAATCTACAATAGGCAAGCAGCTTGGTGTGAAAAAATCAACTGTGGGAGCAATCATCAGAAAATGGAAGACATACAAGACCACTGATAATCTCCCTCGATCTGGGGCTCCACGCAAGATCTCATCCCGTGGGGTCAAAATGATCATGAGAACGGTGAGCAAAGATCCCAGAACCACACGGGGGGACCTGGTGAATGACCTGCAGAGAGCTGGGACCAAAGTAACAAAGGTCACCATCAGTAACACACTACAACGGCAGGGAATCAAATCCCGCAGTGCCAGACGTGTTCCGCTGCTGAAGCCAGTGCATGTCCAGGCCCGTCTGAAGTTTGCCAGAGAGCACATGGATGATACAGCAGAGGATTGGGAGAATGTCATGTGGTCAGATGAAACCAAAGTAGAACTTTTTGGTATAAACTCAACTCGTCGTGTTTGGAGGAAGAAGAATACTGAGTTGCATCCCAAGAACACCATACCTACTGTGAAGCATGGGGGTGGAAACATCATGCTATGGGGCTGTTTTTCTGCCAAGGGGACAGGACGACTGATCCGTGTTAAGGACAGAATGAATGGGGCCATGTATCGTGAGATTTTGAGCCAAAACCTCCTTCCATCAGTGAGAACTTTGAAGATGAAACGAGGCTGGGTCTTCCAACATGACAATGATCCAAAACACACCGCCCGGGCAACAAAGGAGTGGCTCCGTAAGAAGCATTTGAAAGTCCTGGAGTGGCCTAGCCAGTCTCCAGACCTCAACCCCATAGAAAATCTGTGGCGGGAGTTGAAAGTCCGTGTTGCTCGGCGACAGCCCCAAAACATCACTGCTCTCGAGAAGATCTGCATGGAGGAATGGGCCAAAATACCAGCTACTGTGTGTGCAAACCTGGTAAAGACCTATAGTAAACGTTTGACCTCTGTTATTGCCAACAAAGGTTATGTTACAAAGTATTGAGTTGTATTTTTGTTATTGACCAAATACTTATTTTCCACCCTGATTTACGAATAAATTCTTTACAAATCCTACCATGTGGATTCATGGATTTTTTTTTCACATTCTGTCTCTCACAGTTGAAGTGTACCTCTGGTGCAAATTACTGACCTCTGTCATCATTTTAGGTGGGGGAACTTGCACAATCGGTGGCTGACTAAATACTTTTTTGCCCCACTGTATATATTATTATATTATATTATATTCATAAATGTCACATAAAAATAGATGGATTAAATGTACCTTAACATTGAACATGATTTCCTCCATAACATATACCCTTTCAGGGAAAGCTTTGGCCACTTCCTCCACGCTGTTGTAGTACTGCACAGGCTCTTTGACATCTCTGTCCTGCTCGAGCAGCTTGAACTGACCTACGAAAAGATGGAAAAGACAGGTCAATGGTGTTTTGCATCAACACAGACTTACAACTATAAAATCACATAATTTATTTTTGCCTTATATATTTTAGTGAATAATTCTTCAGTTTAGGCAAAGATGCATCATCAAATATCATATTTGATATCTGACAATGCGCAACATATAAATACTGTAAAGCACTTTCAATGCTCGGATAGAGTAGAAATGCGCTTTATAAGAACTAGTCCATTTACCATTTACAAGACAAACTAAATAAGCATAGACTGTGGCTGCATCTCACCTTCATAGTGAACTGGGATCTCTATTTTGGGCCCAATGACATAATGTCCCTCCTCCAGACTGTGAGCAGTAATAGTCGTCCACTGACGACAGGAATGAATCAAGAGGTAGTCATTGTCTCTGAGCCCTTCAACCAGCTGACCTACAGAAAGTAAAAAAAACAAAAAAAATCCACACTATTTACAGAGCAGAAAACAGCATAATTTGCATAATTACAACTTTAAATTAACCACAAAGTAAGCACTGAACCATCCAGCAACAAAACATCTAAAACAAAAAATGTTTATATATGTTTTTACCAGGTGGTGTCTTGGATGTGGGTCATGAGAGAACTATTGAACCTTAATAACTCAGAGAACAGGCCATTCTATTAAATATCACTTTGAGAAACACCACTGCTTTCATACCACTCTTTAGCCATACAGTCTGCTCCATTCAAACTGAGGCATTGGATTACCAAGCACATTTAAAGTCACTATGGATTAGGCCATTAGTCAATGACTAATGGCCTAATCCATACCTCTCTAAAAAGCATGCTCTATCATTCAAAGTACAATACACCACTTTAGTTCTCCAGAAAAGGCCAGGCATGTGTCAGGGAGATGGAGAAAATTATTCAAATTATTAATGATACATAATAGCAAAGTGCAGGGCACAGTCAGCATGTTTATTTTCAGGCATACTGAGGGTAACATAGTTTTAAAGATGCACTTTCAGACCCAGGACTGTATCAGAATCAGTATTATTTAAGTATTCTGATTCTGATAAAGATACACGTTCAGACCCAGGATTGCATTAACATATAGTTTAGTTAGAGGGATAGTAACAGTACTGTGCAAAAGTCTTGAGCCCCCACTCATTTCTTTATTTTAGTAGGGAAATGGGAAATGGCTGCAATATGTGCAAACATACATGGAAATACAGGCTATAAGGCAAGTGCAGAGTTTGTACAACTCTAACAAAATTGAAAGTCAATATTTTATTTGACCACTTTTGTTCTTTAACACGGCCTAAACTCTAAGGCAGACTTCTTGTAATTTCTTTACACCAGTTGCTGCAGTTCAGCCTCCACCCTATTTAACAGGTGGCTGTAGTCACTCCTGACTTTCTCTGTACATACTCACAATGCTCTGAACCAAACATTTCTAAATTGCAGTCACTGCTCCATCAGACCTGATGCTACTGATTTTCAGTCAGGTTCTTGGTTAATTTGGTACTTTTTGTGGACTCAACAAAATAAATGGGAATCGGAGTGTATACACAACACTGGCTGGTCCCTTTAAACGATCCCTTTAAATTAGGTACTTTTTTGTCCTTGAAGAAAATGGTCAGATACAAGAACTAGAAAAACTTTGAAAAACCTTCAGAAAACCTGGAGAACTATTGCTCACGACCACTTCAGAAAATGCAAATCTGGCAACTTCTAAGCAAATTATGAAGAAATTAGTGGTGGCTAAATACTTTTGCACAGCACCATAACATTATCATGTCTTAATTCTTAAAAACAAATAAATAAATACTTGTCTTTTTGTAACCAAAATGAAGACAATGATGCTTCTCAGCTTAAACAGAGCAACTAGGTTACGATTTAGTTATAAGATTGGCATTGTGACTCAGCCTGCAACAATACATGTATATTTAAAAAAAAAAAAAGGCTTTCCAATGGTGGAGCTAGACAGTATGTGGTACAACTCATCAGTCGTTGCAATACAGTTTTTACTAAACCTGAAATAACTTCATTATAATGATGACTATAGGGTTTACACGTTTAATACCAAAAAAGGTGAGATGTGCACAACGGATGCAAAGGTATTACCAAAAATAAACCAAAAGAAAAGAGAGAATAAGAAAACGCTTATTTTGTAATGTAAACTAGATCACGCTGTTGAGAAACGGTAAGTCACACTGCTAAACTCAATCGCAAAGATGTGTTACAGCTTAAGTTTGCCTTTGCTGCTAGCTAGCGGCTAACAAGCGCTGCGCTGATGGCGTGAAAAGGTAAAGTTACTTGCCGTTATCCAGCTTGACAATTTGAGGCAACTTATAATTACTGACGAGTTGATCTAATGGTAAGGACGTAGTACTCCATGTAACTTCTTTTAAATTGTTGTACAACATTGATCCAAGGTCCATTTTGCTAGATTACATTAGCCAACAAGAGCTAGCTACGTGTAAACACGGTCACAAAAGGCTACACTAAGCTAACGCACTAAATAATGTAGCGACTCTCCGTCCGCGGTGTCACATCACGCATGGCGTGTTTCTTAATAATCTTCGCATTTTTTTTCCTTTAAATTTGCCTACGTATCATAAAGAGTCGTTGTCTGATAATGTAGCAGAGCCATGTTTGTTTAACTACCGATGGGGCCAGCGCTAGTTTGGATCAGCCGGAGGGAGGCAGCGCGCAAGTCGCTCTGCTGTGATTGGTGGAGAGAGCCAGCGTAGGTGGGCTTAGGCGGTAGAGAACCAACCACAAAGCAAGGAAGCTGGAATAGTTTTCTTCTGAAGGTAAAGAATACATACTTTGGTAAACAACAGAAGAAAACCCATCAATACAACTGATTTCATTTACAATACAAGTGAATTAATAAAGCTGTGCTAGAGTGCAAAGCTTGTACTAGTAGGTCACTATCGTTTTTAAAAACATTAAGCCGGAAGTTGTAGTTGTTTCTGATAACTAAAAGACAACAAAAAGAATACCAACTGCCTGTTTCAAAGTGTTTTTACCTGGTGCTGCAAATCGTGATTCAATAAATAAATAAACAAATAAATATATAACCCTATTACTTTCAGTCTTTCTTCTTATCTTATCCTTGTTTAATGACACATCATTAAGTTGTTCTTGTGCAATCACATTCCCTACACCCTGTCTGTCAACATTCCTGGTAGAGGAAATCTATGGCTAAACATCACACGTATGACATATCTGGTGATGGGAAAGTATAACAAAATCAGATTAGCTTTATTTAAACACCAAACACAAATAATGAATTGTCATGTAACATCGCATTGGGAAAAAGGGGACAACCCTTTAGCTTTAAGACCTGGTGGTAATGTGTTATTTATATACACCAACAATGACTTTCATCACACTTCCTCTTCTCAATGGTACAAATCAGAGGAACTTCCTTACTGTGGTCTATAGCTCAGTATACTCCAAACCTGCCAACATGTCTTTTGTGGACACTCTGCGCCAGTGGGATGAGGCGGTAACTTGTGTCAACAGACAAGATTTCTCCAAAGCACTTGAGATTTTCTTGGGTATTCAGGAACCAAACTCCAAAATTTATTTTGACATTGGCTGTCTCCATCTTCTTGACCAAGACTTTGATGCTGCTGAAAAGGTATGTCTGATCTGCAGGCTGAAGCATAAACACACAAATATTAACAGCTGTCGTATCAGCAAATTAGTCCAAACAAGAAACTCTTTTGATAGTTGCTGAAATACAATTCTCCGATATGCTGCCTGAAAGCGCAAGTCACTGAGAAAGGAGAAGTAGACCTTACCATGTTTTCTAGAGGAAGTGACAGTTTCTTTCTGTTTCTCAGGCGTTTGATTGCAGCATACGCAAGGATGAACATTTGGCCATTGCCTTCTTTCAAAGAGGAATCACTTTTTACAAAAAGAAGAGGCAAGACACACCTGTCTTTTTTCTTTCTTTCTTTTTTTTTTAATGTTTAATGTTGTGATTTAAAAATGCTTAATAGTATATCATATGCAAATGTTTTAACTTTATTGTCTCTACGTAAAGGTATGAGGAGAGTTTAGCGGACTTCCAGAAAACCTTTAAAACACTCAGGGGCAACCAGCTGATAGATTACAAAGCGCTTGGTCTCAGATACATACTATATGCTTGTGATGTGAGTATTCTTGATTCTATTATTAATCCTGAACATTACACCTAAATAATTCATTTGATGTTATGAGCTGTTCATTCATAATACAACTTAGCATTCTTTTTTTCCTGGCCAAGGACACAAGCTTAACAATGTCTCCACAGGTTCTCCACAATATGGCCCTGGTTGAAGCTGAGCTGGGTAACTGGGAAAAGGCCCAGGAACACCTCACGAAGGCTCTTAACTACAAGACAGAGGCCAGGTTTAATATCATCGACAAAGCTCTGCAATCAATCCTAGTGAGTTGTGATACAATCACTTTTGTCAACCCATTTAAATGTGATTATATTTATGATATCAAATGTAGTCGTTTCTTCATTCCATTAATCTATATTTGGTAAGTTGATATGGTTTATTCTAATTTTGCTTTAAATCAGGTGACAGGATAATGATATGCACATGACTTTAAGTGTCACTCACACTGAAATTTCACCAACAGAAGCAGAAACTTTTCAAACTGGTCGAGTTCCAATCAAAAGAGATGTTTAAACCAAATAAGCACTATGTTGCAGAGCTGGAGAAGAAAGACTACCTGGGCAAAGCAAAGGTGACTCATTACCCAGCCTGTTTTATCTAATCTAGTGTGATTATAAAGTTATCAAAAGTCAGCATCTCTACACACACACACACACACACACGCATATATATATATATATATATAGGAGAAATTATTGTTGAGTGATATCTATAAGCCACTTTCCCCCCGTTATCATCAGGTCGTTGCCTCTGTTGTTCCTCAAGATGAGTTCTCTGGATTTGCCCCATTGCAGCCTCAGGTGACACGCTGGCTTTTATTGGCTATAAAAACTTTACAGTTTGATGATAGACTGAACCTTTACATACCCCTGTGTGTTGCCATGTCTGTGATGGACTGTGGGTTTTTTTTATTTGATAGGTGCAAGATGGTCCAACTCGTCCAAAAGAGCCTGAGGTTCTGAGGTATGATAGTCACTTTGGATCCATGCCGATTTGAAACTCTTTAAACAGAAATGATTTTAGTATTTAATGATGTTGTAGGTGGCAAGTTTTTGTGATATGTGGATTCGCCACTATACATGTTTACAACGTACAAATACAAAATGTGGGAAAGCATGAGACATATCTATGAAACTGTGCTTTCCACAAAGAGAAAAATGGGACTCAGAGTGTAGGTTTAATAATTAAAACCTGAAAATAGAAATGTACCGTTACACAGAATAGTGGCAACTTTAACCTTTGTGTCTTATGTCTCTTCAATTTCACTTCAATTCAATTCAGTTTTACACAACAACAGTCGCCTCAATGTGTTTTATATTGTAAGGTAGACCCTACAACAATACATACAGAGAAAAACCCAACAATCATATGACCCCCTATGAACAAGCACTCTGGCGACAGTGGGAAGGAAAAACTCCCTTTTAACTGGAAGAAACCTCCGGCAGAACCAGGCTCAGGGAGGGGCGGGGTGAGAGAAGGAAGACAGGATAAAAGACGTGCTGTGGAAGAGAGCCAGAGATTCATAACAAGTATGATTCAGTGCAGAGAGGTGCATTAACACATAGTTAGTGAGAAGAAGAAATACTCAATGCATCATGGGAATCCCCCAGCAGCCTACACCTATTGCAGCAAAACTAAGGGAGGATTCACTCTTGATGCTATGTGGACATTTCTTGTGTTTACAGGGTGTTGGAAGGAGAACCGCACACTGTGCTCTTTGAGTTTATTCCTGAGACCAGTGATGAGCTGGCTGTAGTGCCGGGCAATATTGTGTTTGTGTTGCAGAAGGGTGCTGACAACTGGGCAAATGTGGTCTTCAATGAAAGAGTAAGATCTCCACATCTGCCACTTATTGTACAAATTTTAACACCAGTACACTGTGTTGTTTTTATGCACTAAAGCCAGCATTCATATCATGTACTTTTATCACACAATTAATGCATTGCTGGTGTCTGCTGAGAGTAAACATGGCTGTGATGTCTTTCACAGAGGGGGCTTGTTCCTTACAACTATCTGGAACGTTTGGAAATCTCCTTAGCTTCTAACAAAAACAAGGTAAGCATTTACTTGTCATTATTCTCAATTGTTGGTGTCATAATCAATGACTCTGGTAATGTCAGCGCTTAAAACATTGTAGTTTCCTTTCCAAGCTTTTAAAATAACACAGTCTTTACTTTTCTTTATTTTGAATGGGAACAACTATAAACAGGGAATAACTCCGCCTCCAAGCCGACAGCCACCCACCAGACCTGAAAGGATACAAGGTTGGCTTTTCTGGTACAGGATACAAAAATTAAATGAGGATTTTCGAATGATATCTGAGCCTTATGTGAAAAATCTAATTTTCCATATTTTCTTTATGTAAGGTCTTACTCCAAGTGAAGTCACTAGTGGAAATCGTCAGCGACAGGTATGCCAACGCAAAGAAAATGAGAAGTACTGAGATGTTTAATTCTGGCTGTTATTTTAGGTTCTTTTATTTCCTCTCATCATTTCCAGGAAAAACAGTCCACAGACAATTCATGTATCGTCAAAGTGCATTTCAATTTCAACTTTGTCGTATCAGTCCCGTGTGGGTCACCCTACACGATGCTGATTGAGAAAATCAGCAGGAAACTGAATCTTCCTTCTTCTGCAATCACCTTGAGGTAGAGCGCATAATTAAGAAAACAAGAATGTTTGGTATGCATTGTTTGTACTTACAACTGAACACCTTTACTGGGTTTAGTTTAACCTCTGAGGCAAGTGAACAAAGTGTAATCGGTGCCAACACAGAAATGGAGAAGCTGTGGAGCCGTGCCAGCGGTGGGCGTGTCACTTTGTGGTGTAACACCAAGGAGGTAAGAGAGCAACCATCTATTGCCATGTTATTGCTGTTGTTATAGTAACAACAGCAATATTCCCAGTATTAGCGATACTGACGTACTTTTAGTATCTTTTTGTTTTTGCACTCCTGTTATAATTTCTGTCTACACTGATAACCATTGTGGATCTTTGGGGATTTCAGGAGGAGATTCACCTGGTGGCACTTCACTCCTACGAGTCATCAAATCCGGAGGATCTGAATTTTCAGCAAGGGGATAAAATCAAACTGCTCTCTAAAAGTGAGGCTTCATTCTTTTATACGTCAAACATACAGAAACTCTACAATTTGATGGAATATATGATTCTAATTCACAATTTGTTCATCTTCAGTTAACCAAGACTGGTTGGAAGGGCAGTGTAACGGGAATACTGGGATATTCCCTGCATCCTTTGTGGAAGAAGTTCCTGCGAATGGCCAGTGATTTATGGCCAGGTTTGCTAATCTGTTATAAAAGCTGAAAACACTGATTAACAACTTTTCAAAAGTTGTCTGCTTTGGTGATAAAATGTGCCACTTCTTTTGATATACCAAGTCTAAATATGATTATTACAATAGCTGATTATAAATGCTTAAAATGTTACAATTTCCACTTATGTACATTATTTAAATGACTTTTAGTCAAAAATTTTAAGTCTGTATCTTTGCATTTATGTGGCTTCATATGAATTTCACCTTTCTTCATTATGTAACAATTTAAAAAGAGCACTATATAAAGACTTACTATCAAACTTTATATTAGAAAAACATAAAAAACAGGACTGCATTTATTTTGAGGTCATCCTGACAGGCCTGGTCCAGATATCACAGGTATGTAGGATGTTGCAGCATGGAGTCAGTTTCATTAATTCTCCAGAACATTATGTGTACAATGTTGTGCAAAAGTCTTAAGACACCCCTTATTTTTTCTAAGGAGCCAGACTTTCTTGTAATTTCTTAAAGGGGTCTTGAGCAATAATTCTTCATTTTCCTAGTAAAATACAGAAATGAGGGGCGGCTCCACACTTTTGCACAACACTCTTATTTAACAATGTAAAGCAAATAAACACATGAAATGCAAAGGTTATATGCATTTTACTTATTTTGCTAAAGAAAATGAAAAATATGAACTGTGGGATATTTTAATACGTTCAGCAAATTGTTTTCTTTTCTTTGCAGTGTTACAATTTCCTTCTGCTATAAAGCTCAAACCCAGGGTCAGCGTAGAGGTCATAAGATTTGAAAAGTGCATTTTTATACTTAATATATTTCCACTTCATACAAGGCCAATTTCCTCCAAGTTGCGTGAATAATTTAAGATGAGTGGTCATCTGACACTTGGGCTATTTTTTTCTAACACTCAGAGTTCAAAATACATTTCAGTCATTTCCTGGTTCAGAGTAACAACCTTTGGTCTGGTTATGATGTCATAATACTGTAATCACTGAATCACAGATTCCTATACTGTAAGTAATGCAGTATTAAAACTACCACCGCCTGGTACTGATGTTAATAAAAAAACATTTAATAATCACTTTCTTCTTCCAGTAAATACAGCTTATATGCTATACATTTGGTACATTGATAGGTTATTTATTAATTTACCAAAGACATTGTGGATTATTGGTAAAAATGATCACGACGATGTTCCTTCCTCCTCGTAGGCTATAGCTATGCCTCTCCTGCCCTCTACTGCTTTCACCACAGGTGTCTCTCCCAGCTTCTGCTCTAAACCGATCCAGCTTCGACCTGCAAGAAAAGATGCTGGAAAAAAATAATAATAAAATGAATAAATAAACACTTGTAGTGTAAAACAACATATTCATAAGTGTCTACTTTTGTATAGGAGTTCACGCATGTTGATTAGGTGGAGCACACTGTCATACCAGCTGAGTTTGTGTTTGCTACGGTCAGCATCTGGTTCCTCAAGACCACAGAGGACCCATAGGCCGGCTCTGTAGGCTCACTGCTCAGGAGATTGTGGCTTCGCAGAGCACCAGTTATTAATGAAACGTCACTTTCATCCTCCTCGTCCTGCTGATCAGCCAAAGGTACGTGACTCTGTCCACCTACAGCAAGTTTGGGAAGAAAAAGGTTAGACGTGGCAAAATGAAACTACATTACACTACTGTTAACAGACATATAGAAACATTTCCTGAAGGGTAATGGCCGCATGTTTGATTTTGCAGATTTGCGTCTACTCTCTAGATTAAACCTGGGCTCTTTTGCTTGTTTGGAGAACACGTAAACCACTACACTACGAAGCCATATAGACAACACCATTAACATGCTTAACATTAATACAGAACTTTAAGAGAGTTCATTTAAGAAAAGCTGATGTGAAAAACTCCCAATCGCACCTGGCAGGAGATGTCGGAAGTCTGTGACATATTCCTCTGACCATTCCCTCTTCCTGTTGCAGGCCACCTCCATCTCAAACGGCGTCACTACAGGTTTTAAAAAACCCTTTGAGTCCAAAAGTGAGCTCTCTGGACATGCAATTAAAACAAAGATGTCAATTTCAAGAAAGTTTGCCAGTTTGGGTACGTTCAGCTTCCCCATGGCAAACATGTAGCTCTTCTTGCCAGCTCTCTTGATGGTCTCTTTCAGCTGCTCAATGATAGAGAGGTAATCGGCAACCCCCAGAGTCCCAACCAGGATGCCGACCACATTGGCATCCTTGGCCCTTTCTATAGCATAGTATCTCTTCATCAGAGCGCGGCTGATGCTTATAGACTCGACCTGCCCCTTTGCTGTCACAGGGTCAAAAGAGCAAAACGAGCACCGATTCCAAGTCATCATGAAGTTTCGCAGGGTCGCTCCCTCCTGGCCCACATAAAACATACTGCAGTCTGTGACGCTTAAACTGCTTTTCAAGGTGAACTGACGTCCAAACTGATAGATGACCTGGCCATCGTCTTGGTCAGAGAGACGGGCGTCATCATCTTGTCTTTTAATCTGCCCATGACTGTAACACTGCTCCCCTTCAACAACAATTTCAGATGCAACAAGGTTTGGATACTCTGGTGACAGCAGAGCCAAAAGACCATCTGAGGGAGGAAAAAAAATAAAAATGTATACTGGTAAATATCTGTGGACAGATGGGACTGATCGAAACACAAAAATCTGTGTTGAGACATAGTAATTCGAAGGATCACACAAACTTTTCAAGGTGACTGCGAACTTACTAATGGCATGAGCATAGTTGACATCATAGAGGATGATTATGTGACTGTGTCTGTCAGGGTAGAGTTCTCTGAAGGAGGAGGCACACTTCTCCACATCTACTGCTCTTTGCTCAAAGATGTATAACAAGGGCAGCCTTCTGGATGGGCTAAGGCAAGCACTGCCATAGTGCACAATGCAGTCAGCGCCAACGTGTTCTGCAGCGACCTCATCCACACAGCAACTGCACATGAGAGTTCAACAAAAGTGTTAAATAAGTTAACACCCTTACTAGATGAGGAATTTCCTTGCACACTGTTTTATATAGCACTGAATGCTTCTTTGATAACAAAATAAAACTCCCAGTAAATATTCTCATGTACTGAAAAACAGAGCTGAGATTTTGAATTCAAAGTCTGACAGGTCTGGAGATGTTGACAAGTTTTTGTCAAAAATATCAGTGAATGCAACCTGCCACCAATTTTAAAACCCAACTTTACTTGATGACTCAAAACCATTAAAAAAAACAGTGTTGCATGAGTGCATTACAGCAATGATTTCTTAAATCTACTGTGTTACCTTCCATAGGATGTATCACCCAAAATGTATGACTTGGCATTAGTGTTTCTCTCGATCTCTTCTGCCACTGCAACTGAATCCACCAACAGCTCATCGGGAAACTGCAGAGCTACCTGCACACACGGCAACCAATGTAATAATAATTAATAAATAAAGTATAAATTAGGCACTGTTTTATATTTTTTAACTGCAGTTGCTTTTAATTAAAACAAGACATATTAAGAATATTTGGCTACTAGGCCATAAATGCTTTTGTAAACAAAGGTGAGTGACATCTAAGAAAGTAAAATGTTGCTCCTCCTTACCTTTTCAAACTGATGCTCACTGATGAAGTCGCAGGTTTTTTTAATCTGATAAAACTTTTCCAGGTCATCCGCAGGTGTGCTCGTCTTCACTGCAACTCCCACCACACGCTGAATTACAGTTTCCGAGCTGCTGCTAAACGCATCAGCCATGTCTGTGCTGTGAACCCGTAGAAATGCGTGTAGAAACACAGTAAACTGTGATACCCAGATATTTTAAATGAAAATCTGACAGACGTTAACGAAAGTCATAACACTGAAAAACAGCACATAGTGCGGAAAATGTAGTTTAGCTGTCTGCTAGCTTAGCTGGAGCTAGATTCCCTATAGGTGTCCGCGGAGCCTCTAAACAAACTAAGTGCCGTTTCTAATCTGTCAGGTTGTGTATTTGTAGGGCTACACAACGTATACTCACAACTCAGAGTCATGGAGTTACTTGTGGACTTATAAATGTTCACTTTACAGCTACACACGTGTCAATATGATACTCCATCCCTTCTGCTGAGGGAATGACTTCCGGGTCAAATGTTTTTCAAAATAAACTTCGCCTGGCACGATTAAGAAAATACTTTTTGTTTCGCTCGTCCGGTATTCACAACCTCATCAAAAATCTCTCTGCTATCACTCCTACAACTCTCAATTCTAGATGACTGAGTTGCAGACATATAGGTTTCCCATTATTGTAATGCTCAAGGAGTATTGATAGATTTTGAAAATGGAAAAGAAATCAGCTCAAGCTTCCTTCACTTCACTGCCCACCTCTACTAAAAGCACAAACCTCACAGACAACAGCTAGATCAATCTTACATTCATTGATAATACATTTTATTTAAATAACACGTAATATTTGTCCCAGAATCTTTCACATATTTCTGAAAACGACAAAAAAAAAAAAAGTACAAAAATCTTTGTGCCTCAGTATTAATATTATGTTCTCTCCAGTATTTAAAATTACTAAGTGAATTGTCAACTTGGTTCCAGAAGCCATAAAACAAGACAATAAAAATTTAATTAAAAAACTGTCTGGGTGGTGCGGTAGAAATTTTTGATGAATGAATGTATCAAATAACTTCCACGAGTGATCGGTGAAGGAGCTGGTCCTTCCATAAGTTCTACTTGTAAAAAAGATCACCACTGCCCGGGAAATAACAAATCATAGCACATTCAGAGGATGCAGTGACAATTCAAGTATTATCAAAGTCAATGATCAAAGTCCTGATTACATCCAAACACGATAGAAACCCAAGACCACAGTGAGGCACGTAAACACTGAACCTGCAAGAGAAAAAAAATATCACATGCAATTATTTGTACCAGCTGTATCTGTAAGAAAATAAAAGATAGAAAGTGTAACTACAACCCATATTTAACATGCACGCGTACCTGCAAGGTATTTTATAGTATCCAGTTTATGAGACTCCAACATGGTTTTCAATCCAGCCACTTCTGTGTCTATTTTCATTTTTGTCTGAGTCAAATAGCGCTCCTGTTCTGCAGTCTGTAAAAAAGGCAAGGCGATAAAGACCCATGATAAATTAAAAGCAAGCATTAAAAACCTTTAATGGAGAATAGAAGCAAATGACTGAATGCAGTGTGCTATAAACTAAATGCATGTATACAAACCATTTCCATAATCTCAGTTCGTGTTTCTAGAAGTTTCTTCTCATGCTCTGCTCTCTGAAAATACAAATGTGATTTCATGACACCTTTTGTGATACGACATTGGTACAACGCTCCTTTGCACATGTAAAAATAAATGCAGGCAATGTTTGTGTAACTGTGACACCATGGCATAAAATGCAAACATAATTATAGGCAGAACTTCATGTGGGAACAATAAAGTCGTGTAGTTTTAAATTCAGTCATTTTTTTCCAAACAATAATTGAACTGATCTCCTCGAACACGTACCAATTCTTTCACTTGGCTTTTCTCCAAATTCATATCCAACATATTGTCTGACTGCACTTTTTTCATTTCATCCTGCAACGTTGTAAAAAAGAGACACACAAAAGAAAGTCAAAACATTTTTCTAAAT